AATTGGACTGGGTGGTTTCCAGAAAGCCAACTAAATATACTGGTGTACTCACTTTTGCAAAAAAAACGGACACAAAAATTACCTTTACCCTTATCCTAGTTTGAGTTGGGGGGGTCAAGCTCTATGCTATTAATATAAATGCACAGTTATAAGGAAAACATTCTGGTTTTCTTTTCCATTTATGAGGGTAACTTGGGACAGCTGTTTCCAGCATGGTGATCTTGCCAATAGACCTCAGTCACATTTGGTTTTAGTAGCATTCTAGTGAACTTGGTAACATATTTTAAGATGTTTGGTAAGGTCAACAACAGTTAAGGATCATGGGCTGAGCATAATGCAGTTTGCAGAAGGCTCACAAGGTTCCCTTAAACTGCAGAACTGAATAACAGCCACAGGCGAGAACTGGTATATGGCAAGATGGGGTAGGCTGTCCAGATTTAAAGTAAATGAGATGAAAGAAGAAAAATCATTAGAAAAATACTTCTAATGTTTGTAAGGCAAAGTGGTCCTGTGCACCACAAAATTAGTTCTGGAAAGAGTAAATTTATTTCCTTACCACAGAAAAGCCTAGCGAACATAAACCTGAAAATACGTGCATAGTTTTATTTTTCTTTGGTTTTTAAAAATTGTATCAAACCCTTTATTAGACAAATACAAGCAGACCTGAACAGACCTTTATCATGCTGCACACCAATAACGAATGCTCACAGAAACAGAGAAAAGGTATCTAAGAGCAGGCAGAAGCATATGTATTGTAAAGGAAATCAGTCAAAAGAGATTAGTTCCTTGGTCTGGAGGAGGAAAAAGATCTTTTATAGGGAACCTTGACAGGAACCAAATGCAGGATCCTTTGACAGGAACACTGAACCAGTACAGAGTTAAAAGTATGAACCTGAGATCCAGAAATCACAGAAGGAATATAAAAGGAAGAGTTAAAAAAGACTTTATACAGTGTGTGTGCACGCACATGTGTTGGTAAACAGAGCATCAAAAGAGAAAGGTGAGTTGCAGTATGACCCACTCATATCCAGACATGCTGGTTTTGTTCCTGCACTTTGAGTAACTGCAAACCTAGCGTGTGGGAACTGTTAATTCAGGAACAGGGATGATGACTGCTTTATGAGGTAAAATTAGTTTGTTTTGGCACTTGTTATCTCACTGTAGCCTAATACATGAATCCCAACAAAAGGCTGTAATAAGTTATCTGACGACTGACTGCAATGTTTAACTAGAAGAGTAGGTGAAAGTCTTACTAGTCACGAGTGCTGTGTTTTTCTGTACCTTGTTAATGTTCCGATAACTTTTCCACATTAACACAATTTGCCCTTTTGAACTCAGGAATATTTTCAATATTTTTAATTCATCATTTATTCAAATCCCCCTTGTGCCTAATTGCTTACTCAAATTAATATTTTCTTTGCGAAATCTGAAACAGAAATAAATGGCAATGGAAAAGACTAAGTCTAGGAAGATGTCCTGGTTTGGCTAAAACAGGACTATTTCTCCTTTCAGTTTTTCTTGCAGCTAAGTTCCTTCTAAGTAAGGCGCTGGCTTGGAGATCTTGGCCTGGTTGAGGTGCAGCAAGTGGTCAGAGACAGGCACGCGAGCTGCCTCCCTGGGGTAGGCCTGGCCCCCCACGTAGTAATGGTGACAGAAGAGATGGAGAATTACCTGCTGCCAGCACGGGTCACTTAAAAAAAGTTCATAAATCAGTAGCCATTCTCATTGCTATTTAGTGTGTGTACTGATAGAACATCTTTCTCTGTAATATCGTTGTCAGTGTTCCTCAAACTTTAAGTTGTTAATGGGAAAACAGGGAGATAAATACACTTTGAAAGTCAACACACCTAAAATAAAAACCCACAGCACATCAAATAACTTGAGGAAACGATGAAGACTGTACTTCTCAACATTCATTTGGTAAAGACATTAAATATATCAAAATATACATGCTTTTTTAACATTCACTCATATTGCTCAATTCAGTCCTGTACAGTTTTCTGTCAACATGTAGAGGCAGAGTACAAGACTAACTTTGAAGCAAGTAAGTATGCAAATATAAGCCTGATGTTTGCTTGCATCAAGGCCTCTCTATGCACACGTGGCTGTGTGGAAGTACACTGTAAAGTATATGCAGATTACATCTGAATGTTAAGACTTACACTTTTAATTATAAATGGCTTAAGAGGCTGAGGATTTTACAGTATTTATGGCATTCACAGTGTACCCATGACTACAGTTTCCAGGTGCGACCACATAATGTGCAACTTTCTCAAGCAAACATATGTTGTTACTCCAGAGCAATACTCTGCTTTAAGCCCTCAGCTAATTAACAAAGGCAACAGTTTTGTATATTGTGCATCATGCACTTTATTTCTAATACAGTGCATTAATTATTTTTATTTTAAACAATGGGCACTTCAACTACTTGCAACGCAGCTGCAAGTAACTTTCATTACCTGATCTTGTGATTTCTTTTTCTTCTTCTTCTTCCCCCAGCATCCTGAACTCTCTGCGTCTTTTCCATTGGCATCACCACAGAGTAATCCATCAAGTTCATCTGTTCCCATCTGCTGTCCCTGAGATGTTTCTGCAGCTAGCCTGTATGAGAGGTTCCTCAAAATGCACACACAGTTTTCAACGGTCTGAAGAGTGTGACAAAAAAAAAAAAAACACAACAGGAAATAAAACCAGAGAAAAAGTTAAAATCCTTCCCTTGCTCACTCTGTATACAAAGCAGAAGAAATATCATCGATCTTTGCACATACATTTTCCCAGCACAATTCCTATCTGCTCGTTTCTGAGTGCTCCCCAGGTAATCACAGCTTAAGAGATTTAGAAATTTTTATGGAAAGAAATCAGTAGTCTGGACAAGATTTTTCCGGGAGTTTTTTATTGTCATTCTGAATTTCACGCTGGAGCCCCATGTGAAACAGAAGCCAAGGTAAAAAGTGATCAAGAGAACCTGAACACACACACAGAATGTCAGCAAACTCCCACTTCAATGAACAGAAAATGCTTCAAACAGAAAATGGCAATAAGTTCTGGGTTTGGTTTATGTTTCCTTTTTAAAAAGATAAATAACCTTTTCCTGGCATAAATTCTATGTAAATTACCAGAAAAATGGAAACCAAGTTCCATTTCACAAGTACTTGTAGCATGAACAGATGATGTTTGTCAAGTCTCAGAAGTAAGACTAGAAATCTCAGAGTCTTGCTGCTTTCACTGCTTCTAGCCTGGCTGCAGATACCTTGTGGGCAGCCTTTCCCTTTCATCCATTTGTCCCCCTAACAGGTTGTGCCTTCTGTAGAAGATGCTGGCAGGAATCCAGAAATGGAGTGAGACCCAGCAGAGGAAAATTCAGTGATAACATAATTTCTGCAAGTCTAAAAGAAGTTCAGTTTAGACTGGAAGCCCACTCATTTAGTTGGTTCAATTTGGTTTGACTATCCCTAATAAGTGAATGAGCTTAATTTTCTGGAGGCAGGAAAAGCACAGTTAAAAGAGCCAGTCTGTATCTGTCTATCTATGTTCCAACTGTTCCTAATGCTCCACGGAGACAAAAAGCATCAGTCACTACATCCCAGCTCTGTTGCTCCATTAACCCAGAACAGACTGACTGCGAGGCTTTCCACTCCGTCTTACTCTGCCATATTCACCAGTGAGGCAAACAGATGGGGCTTCATTTACTCTGATATACTGTATGAGCTTATGCCAGGTATGCATTTGACACACAGTTTTTGCAATGACATTAAGTTCCAGAGATGATATTGAACTCAGACTCATCTATGCAAGAGTATTTATTTATCTTTTAACATAGAAGAAATTTCACAACACACTTGTACTAATTTGAAATCTCCAGCCAAATACATAAACACATATGGAAATATATACATATATGTGTGCATATGCAAAAAGTGTTCTTAGTGCACCTTTCATACCTGCAAGTTTTCCAGACCTCATAGTAAACATTAATTTAAAAAAAATAATTGCTGCCTCTTTCACATTTCCATATATTCACTCTTGCTAATATTTACTTCTGCACATACTGAGCTGACGTTGAAGCTTTGCGTTTGATGATTAGAGTTCTAAATTTTAATTCCCCTTTTTACAAATAACAGTTTTCGCACTTAAACTTATTATGTCAAAAACCAATAAGCTGAGTCCATCGTGAGGACTATGTTACCTCAAACTAAAAACTGATAAGCAAACTTCTGAGTCTCAAATGCAACCGACACCTTCGTCACTTAAGGTGAACTCCTACAAGCCAAGAAAGCTGGTTCTAGCCAGGCACCTGGACAGACTTCACTCCTTCTTGACTTGTACCTTCAAACTTTCAAGGGTCCTTGTATTCCTCACTCCTTTTTCAGTTTCATCGTAAGGTGACTAAATATGAGTTCACTAGTCTTTCTACTTTAATAGATCAAATTAAAATTATGAACAGTAACTTCATCAGGTAACCACGTCCAAGTAACTAATTTTTAACACTTTAACTTGGATTAGCATAGTTTTTTCTTATTACACATTTAGAAGAAACAATGCTGCTAAGATGCTTGTAATGCTGCTAAGATTCATTCACTCTTAACTCCACCAACATGAGGAATGACTTTAACAAAAACTCCACATACACTGGCAAATCCCCCATCCTCTTTCAGATCCTGCAAGAACAGCAACCTGTTTTTCAGTATTTCAGTTTTTAGTTACTAACAGTATTACAGAATTATCTAATAGGGTAACTGTCATGGCATTTGGAAAGCAACATTTATAACTTTAAAATAAAGTTCAATATTTTGTTATAATAGCATTATTTTTGAAACTAGATTAAAAAGTGATTTAGAGTCAGTTACTTAAACATTTAACTTAATTAAAATTATATTCTACTTTGGGATAAAGATGCAAGGTAAGAGGCTACACTATGGTGTTTTCTATTTAGCTGCACAACAATTTTATGTCATACAGTTAGAAACCTGTTAGACAGGAGGTTAAAACTACTAAGGCAGGGAGAGTAATTTTTCTCTCATTTCTTCACTTTTTCCTCCATATATGACTTAGCCTGCAGTTTTTCCAAGTCATACCAGCTACAAATAACAGTATAAACAGAACAGTCTATATTAACAAGAAGAGGCAAACCAGGGAGCTTACTGTGCTCCTTGTTTAGCCTTTTTAGCAGTAAAACAGTCTTGAAATAAGTTGGGTCACCTACTAAGAAACTGCTGAAAAAGCAGCAGCTGAGCTGTCAGATGGGGCACAAACTGACTTCCTCCCTCCTTCCTCCTCCATCCACCTCCCACTCCGCTCCAATGAAGCCCCTCTAACTTCTCCCTTCTCTTAGGCAAGCCGAATCAGGGAACTTTGAAACAGCTCCCAGTCCAGCTCTTCCAAAGCTAATGAAGCTAAAAACGCTCCAGTGTTTGGGGGCTGCTCTGCAGGAGGTGGCAGGGAGGGGTGGGAGGGGGCTGGCCCCAGCCGGCAGCCGAATTTGCCCTGAACCCTGATGCAAGCACAGTGCCTACCTTGTGGGTGGGCCTCCTCCGATCATCACCGTGCTAAACTTAATAAAAGGAAAACTGATTATAGACTAATGGGTTGTGGTTTTTTAGGGGGTGGGTTGTTTTTTTTTTTCTTTGGAAAAACAAAACCATGCTGCCAGCCCAGCACCACATACTCCAAGCCTCCTATAATTCCTCTCTCCGTTCCCTGAATTCATAGGCAAATTTCACCTATTTAGTTCAGGCTAGCCACCAGAGAGTTTTGGAGATTATCCCTCTCCAGTCTATAAACCCACACACAGGTCTGTGGACAGCTATCTGTGAAAGATCATTTGGAAATACAAACCCAGCAGGCTTTAAAACTTTGCTGCATGAGGCTGCTCTCCTGCGATTCTCAGGAGTTTGCAAATGGACCAAGGTTGCCATAGAGCAGAAACTGTAATTAATTTAGCACCACGTACTGAAAGCAAAAGTTATTTGAAACTAGCTTTTTTCTTCTTCCCTGGAATACTTTAATACATTACAAATCTTCAATTTGTAAATGCTTTCAGTCTTTTTAATTAAGCAGTGTCTTTCACCTTTGGAGAAGCATGTCCATATCCTAGTACTTTCAGAGAAGTAAAGTTTACATAAAAATGCATCTTAAAACAGTTGTTATTGAAAGCATTCATTGATCCTCTTCAAAGAGGAAATAATGTTGGTTGTACTGCAAAACTGCCTATTAATTGCCCGATTATTTTTTGGTTGGTTTGCCTTGTAAGCCTATTTCACTGTTACTAGCTCTGTCTCATACCAAATACTGAAAATCAATTTTAAGGTAAACTTGGCAGAGAAACGTAAAGAACTTTACATGGAATATGACATACTGACTCTCCTTAAACCAGTATCATAATTTCTCCCTCAATAATTCAAGTGAGAGGATGACATGCTTACCTATGTCCAGTACATAGGTACTAGTAGTACATAGTACCAGTACATAGGTACTACTAGTATGTAGACACAAATCCAACACTTAGCACACAAAAATACATGGCTCAACAGGAGGAAAAGAAAAAGATGGGCTAAATTATGCTTTGCTAAGGCATCCCTCACAATGTATTTTTTTTTAAAAAACCTGTCACTTTACAGTCCCGATATACCCTGAATACCTGGAGATCTTGCTCCTGAAAAGACAAAGATGACAAACCTTACTATCAATTTCACTGCTCCCCAGAGCAGACTGGATCACATACAGCAATGCGTCCGTCAGGCCATCGCACTCCCTCATCCTTCTGCGGGCCTCCTCTCCAGCAGAGCTGACGTTCCTGCAAGGCAACAGCAAGGGTCACCACCTCCACAGCTCCCCTGCCCACCTCCCCTCCTGAACCCTTCACGCAATTAACATACAGATAAAACACTGGTTTTCTTTTCTCCTTTCATCAGTTCAGAGCTGTGAATAATGAAGACAGCTGTGAATGAGCTGAGAAAACGTAACACAGAGCAGAAACAAATGGAAGTCATCGGGTCCTCTGTGAGAAGGGGCTGAGAGGCCAAGCAGCATGCGCCCACCTGAGCCGGGAGACTCGCAGCCTACTAAAATTTGGAGAAGGGCTGATTGTTTCTTTTAATTTATTTTTTTTAAAAAGGTTTTATAGTAGTGAGAAAGTGTTTTTAAAACGTGCATATGTACATATCAATCAGGCTTTAAAAAGTCTAGAGGTTTTGCCAAAGAAATCTCCTAAGAGTTGAAGAGCCCAGTAGTTAGGGCTCTTAATCTGAGAGAAAAATATTATCAAAGCATAACATAAAACACCTGGTGTTCCTTGATTCTCATTTTACATGAGTGTTTCCTTTTCTCTCTCGTTTTGAGAGAACATTAATGCCTCAATCTTCTCTTTACGTAGTTACTCACAAGTTGTTTTACAATGCAAAATTTAAAACCTCAGCTTATTATAATAATTGTGTTCCTCAGACAGGGCCAGAGGGCCTTCTGAACACATTTATAAAAACACAATTAAAAAAAAAAAAAAAAGACTGCATAGCATAATGTGTCATAAAGTTCAAAATATTGATATATGAAGAAACAAATATGTATGAATGAGCATATATAAATAGAATCTATGCTTGCTAACATCAAGTTTCCCTGAGAAAAACTGCATTCAAATTTGCACAGCAGTTTTGATTTGGAAATGGGTGAATAAGCAATCTCAGAAACAGGGTAAAACTTTTCACATAGTCTCCTTTGGTAGGAGAAGACAACCATCTACTGAGGTGGCTCATCTGTAGCTCCTCTCGCCACTGCTGAAGTTTATACAAAGGAAGAACACAAAAAGAGCACACCAGCCCTATGTACTTAATGCCAATACAGGGAAACAGAAGGGAAGGCATTGGCTCTTTCATCTGGGAGGAAAGTACAGCACTTTCTTCCTCTTATGCCATTTTGAATTGCCTTTGCATTAAAAACAGAAAAAGTACAAGAATCCTGGGAGAGCAGAATGAATTTTAGATGGAGGAAGGTAAGAGAACTTAAGGATAGGTTTCCTTTCACTACTTTCTTTGTTCTACCTGCTTCATCTTGTTCTGCCTTCCTATAATCTAAAAAATGCCATTTCCATTCCCCCAAAAGGACCAAAGAGTTTTCCTAATCAAGTAATCTTATAACTGGACAATCCCCCAGCTCCTCCAATGCAGGTTCCTAATTGATTCTCCTCCCTAAACACACATGATTTTCCATCTATACTTGCATCCCCACTCAGTCCCAATTAGTTCTGCTCTCCCACACACAAGCTGCCCCAATTAATTCAATACTGTTCCCTTCACCTGTGCAGACAGCCCAACAAAAAACATACAGCCCAGGAGCACTAGAATGAATTCCTTTACCTCAAGGTAAAGCACACAAATTCATGTCTTCCATTCTCGTTTAGACTCCCCAGTTCACCCCACATTATGCATCAGAAGTGTGACCTTCACAGTGGCTTGCAAGTTTTGTGTTGTCTCGTTCTTCTGGTCCCTGAACTCCACACCTCTTCCCCTCTCTCTCTGCTGCTACAAGAGTAGCGGTTGAGGGGTTTTCCTCCCGTTCATGGGGAAACCCTCTTCTGTCATCCAGGAACTGGGGTCTGGAGAGCATCAATTGGAAAAAGTCTTCCATTGGCTCTCCCTTTGAAGTGATGGAAATCTTTTGACTTCCCTTTGGGTGACAGAAATCAGAAGGTAAAATTATGGAGCACAGTTTGCCCAAAACAGTGCCTGTACCCTATATTTGCAGGGCTGTGGACTCTGTCTAAAGTGTATTTTGAGTAGACTGACCCCTTACTAAAGGCAACAGCTCCACCTGAAAATCCGCAAGGGCAGCACACATAGGAATAGCAGAATCATGGATCTGAAAAGGGCATTGCAGGGTGGGCAGTGAGGACAAGGGGGATTAGTGGTCTTCTTTTATCTGAAATTTGACTCCCACACCCTCCAGGAAGATAAAGATAGAGACAGAGAAAGAGAGTTGTATCCAGCCCTAAAAGAGTAACTGCACAAATTACAATAGGAGGATGCTGAGGACATGTTCTCAGCACATCACTTTTCCTTGCACCACTATCAAGAAAAAAAGCTGAAATATTACTGGATGCTTTTAAACAGGACTAGGTGTGACTGTCTGTACTAACATAATGTGCTCAGGCTTCTTCATTTTCTGCAGTTAGATACACTGAGTGCACGCTTTCGAAACAGATAGACTTAGACATCGGTAGAAACAGAGAGATACATTCTCCCTGATCTTTTCATTGAGGTGATTTCTCCTTCTCTCTAGCATGGCCAAATACATGTCACCGTGACTCTCCAGAGCCTGCAGAGACCGACAGCCTCTCAGCTCCTCTCCCAGTTCACCAGAAACTCCTCCTCACCAAGACAGCAATGCAGACAACCTTACAGTCCCTGAGCTGTGAGTTGCCTGCCTCATTAATTTCCAGTCAAACAAAGAATACGAGGCCTTTATACGAAGTGATACAGACACACCAGGGGCACATCTTGCACAGACAATGCATTTCTTTGCCCAGTGTGCACGAGCTGTCGAGTTCAGTTCTTCTGTTTATCATCCTTCCCCATTATGCTCCAGTTGCTTCTGTAATCAAGAAGTGGATATACCAAATTCCCACAACTGCTTTTCCCTTTCTTTTAAAAGTGTCTGCCTAGTTTCTGCACTGACTCATAGCTACTACAGCCCTCCCCAGATCTGGCAAATTTATTTACAGGGAAATAGCTTAAAAACCAGGACAAATCCAAACCTTGCATCAATATTTTTTCAGAAATAATAATTTGATTATTTAAAAAGAAATACTTCCCATTATCTAACTATTCCCATTTCACTTCTATTGAAGGAATAATTGTTAACTGAGATCTTTCACAGAAGGTCTCTAATATCATCATGTTCAGGATATGTAGTTCTGCAAAAGAGAAGCAAGTTCCAGATTACGTGAGCTGTCAAAGAAAACAGGCTGCCATCTTAATTTTCTTATTTCTCATTGTTAACGTGAACATGCTGCAGCTGTCAGTGTGACAGGCAGTAACACATGATTTGCCATTTGTGAATTTACAGGTCACTGTGCAAACCTTACACTGGAGCATTAGTGGTATTTACTGTTGGTAAAATGTCCCACCAAGTAAGCCCTTATTTCTCCAGTGTCAGTCTCCAAACAGGTGAAATCACCTTTTCTGGATTTTTAAAGAGATGTGGAGATACAATGCACAGGTTTTCAGGAAAAAAACCCTTTCCCATCATAAAGGTAGCCCAGCAAAACCTTGACTGCCTCGTAAATTTTGATTCTTTGTGGAAACTCTACTCACAGGGTATACGTGGGGTGTAGGCTGACCTTTTGAATCTAACAGGACAAGGAGTCCTTTAGACCTCCATAAACCAGTAAAATTAATTTCAAATGGAATCGAGTCACACAGGAATACCAAGAATACAGAGTGCTGAAGAATAATTCTCAGTTTAGTCAGAAGGTCCCACTCAGACCTCCAAAACCCAGCCAACATAACAGCTTCTTCTCAGGAGAGGAACACCAAGAACAGATAGTCAGAACAAGAGCTCAGACTCATGGTTCATCCAACTGTTTTCTGAACAAGTGGCAGACTGACTTTGCTAATCATCTAGGAATGGAAAAAGAACTACAATAATCCAGCTTCAGTTTTATGGGAAGATGTGTCACAGCTATCATGTCATCACCTGACAACCAACAGCAGGCATGATCCTCCAAACATACATAAGGGGTGTCAATGCAACGCTCTATGGATATGAAGTGCGCGGTACAAAGGAATGGACTGTGCAACACATACCTGATTCCTGTTAACCCTGGCACTTACCTTAGTTATTCAATATAACTGGTGGGATTTGAGGTAGGGGAAGACAGGTGGTGCCAAGAAATTTCTTTCTCCTTTAGGGCCATTTTCAATACACTCATATAAACTGTGGGAGGTTTCAAACAATATCCTTAGACTCTAGGATAACTAAGTTCACTTGCCTTATGCAGGGAGGGACATTGAATTCTATGGAAAGATCATCCAGAAAGCCAGTGTGCTGCGAGACATGCTCTCTTGATATGGGAATATTTAGCAAGCTGTTGACATTACTCCCAGTGGTCATTCTACAAGTCTCAAATACAGAATTAAATTATCTACAGAAGCAACTGCCCTCCTTGAACATGCTCAGGTCACATCAAGTAGTATGACCTTTCCCGTACCAGCTACAGGTCTGCAGACTGCAGACCTCACTGCAGTCATGTAGGATAATCGTTGAGAACAAATAATCTATATTTAGCAAAGGTGAAATTGAGAGGGGTCTTCCTTAAGGCCTCATGATAAAAAGAGAAAGCATGTTTAATTTTTGCTATGGACTGCTGTGATACAAGAAAGGACAGACACAGGAAGGACAATATCCTACATCAGGTGGAATGCAGAAATTATCTTTGGTACGAAACTTCAGATGCGTCCAAAGTACACCTTTATTCCAAAAAGTTTTATGTAAGAGGGACTACTCATAACAGCCTCAATCTTTTTCATCCTTCCACTTGTTATAAGAGCCACCAAAAAGAGATTTTTCACAGAAAGCAGAAAAAGTTTATATAAACCAAGAATTCAAAAAACTTCATTAACATTGCAGGAACCACATTTATGTTTTCCTGAGGATACCTAGCAAGGAAAAAGCCCTCAGGAGAATACTGAATAACAGTTGCAATTGATACACTAAATACTCATCTTTAAAACCATTCACAAAAAAAACCTTAAAAATCCCAGATACTGACGTCCTCTACATGTGCTCTCTTATACACTGCCT